GACATGGAAACTTCCAAGGAGAATTCTTTCTTTTCTTTCTGTTTTGAAGAGCAGTGGTGCCCACCTTTCCCTGCTGAGAGCTCGCTCTTCCACTTGCTTCCACACTTGATGCCCAGCTACTGGCCATACTCATCACCATACCAGACCAGAAGTTCACAGCCTGGCTTGACGACCCGGCAGGTTCGGTAGAAGATCTGCCTGTGATATTGAAAAGCCACCAGGTTCTGCTCCTCATCATCACTGGCACAGTTCACATACCTGGGATTGAGGCAGGGAGAGGGAAAGAGAACCACAGGAGATAAGTTCCCGTTACGTGTTAGATCTGCCCCCAGTGCTCACGGCCTCCATGCTGTGATGCCGCCCACTCCCCAGCTCCTCAGGAACCTTCTGTTCATACTTAAGTCTCCATCACAGTATCATATGAATTCCCATCTCTAAGTTCAGCTTCCTGCCCTCAGCCTTTCTCTAATGCTTTTCCCCTTGCTTGATTAACCATTTTCCAAATCCCAATTCCAGACTTACTGCCACCTTAATTGGTCACAAAACCCAGTGTGACCAATTTGTTTCTCTAAACTTTTGTTTCTCTAAACTCTAAATTAAGTTCTGTTTTATACCACAGAACTTGATGCTTGACCATGGACTCTGCTTTCAGATCAACAGACATCATTCCACACTCAGCCCAAGTGTGGCTATCTTCCTTTGAGAGAGCTTTCTTCAATTCTCCCTACACTGTATCTGAGGTATCATTCCCTTGTCTCCCCTGAGTTCTCATAGAAGCTTGGAGCTTTCTTTGTCTTAGTAAAATGACACAGAAAAACAATATTTTATTTACATGCTCCATCCCCTGATAAAATGAGAGCCCCTCAAGGAAACAGGGTGGGTCATGAAGCATAGAGGCCTGTGGCCATACTGCAGTCCCTTCCTATACAGGCTTCAGAACCCAGTTCTATTAGAAATGAGACTAGAAGAGCTGCTGCCCTCACATATTAAAGGTCCCTTGTTTAAGGCTATCTCTCTACTGTATACCTCTTGAAAAATAGGGAAACTGTAGTTAAATATTCTTTTTTTTATTTTTGAGAGAGAGAGACAGCATGAGCAGGGGAGGGTCAGAGAGAGAGGGAGACACAGAATCTGAAGCAGGCTCCAGGCTCTGAGCTGTCAGCACAGAGCCCGACAGGGGGCTCGAACCCAGGAACCGTGAGATCATGACCTGAGCTGAAGTCAGACGCTTAACCAACTGAGCCACCCAGACGCCCCTATAGTTAAGTATTCTTAAACTCAAGTGTCTACTATCTATCTGCATTATGTCTTCCACAGGACATGGGTTGTATAATATGTTTAACTAATGAACTCCATTGTCTAAACTGGAACACAGTAAATGCTTATACATGTTGATTAGATAAACTAAAGTGTGAATCCAGTGTTCCTGATGAATCTAGGCTCCTTGGGTTTTTTTCCAGTGTCCAAATTTTGTCCAGAATATTTAGAGGATATATACTATATTCTTATCTCCTTTTCCCCATAAACTTCTCTTGAAATGAAAGAGCATTACATGGAGAACAAAGAGGAACAGAGGATTGAGGGAGACCATTAAGGGAGACATGATGAGAAGGAAAGGAACATAGGTTTGTGAGGGGTGAATGTCCTCTCTGGATCCCTGAGCCCTATTGGCCTTACCTCATCCAGTTGGCCCAAGAGTTATCCTTTCCATCCACATACTCGTAGCAGTTTCTCCCTTTGGTGATCTGAGTTTGAGAAAGAGAAATTAAATATTTTTGTTTGTTTGTTTGGTGTGTGTCGGGGAGGGAGGTAATAGAGGGATTATTTTACTCTCCTGTGGTCAGTGTCTTTCAGCCTGTATGGAATCAGTCCCCAGTGTGACCACAGGATGTGCTCTTTAGTCATTGTCTACACATCTGGGTTGCTTTGTCAACTCAGAGCAGGGGTCCCGGAAGCGTGTCTGTACCACTATGCTCCTTCTTACCCTCTGATCTTTAAGTAGGAACACCAGATTCATGCAAAGCCCACTCAGCACACAGAACTAACCGTATTATTCTCTTCCATGTAGAGGGTGATATCCTACCAATCCACAGCAGGGATGTGGGAAACCAGAGGACAGGGGAAGAGGTAGATGATTCTCACCAGCCAGGAGTATCCACTGTTGGCTGCCTCTTCACCTTCAGTGATCTGACCCTCATAAGGGCCAAAGTGTATACCCAGTGGCAGATCAGATGCTTCATTCCATACTCCAAGCCCAGCCTCAGGGATGCTCGATGGTCTGATTCTCAGACCAGGGGGCAGAGTGAGGGCTGAGCCGTTGGGATGCCCCTTGTCCACTGCATTGTCCTTTACAAATGTAGCTGGCCCATGAGCAGCACAGCTCTCAATGAAGAAATTCTGACACTTCTCACAATCTGGAAGTGAGAGCAACAGGGATTAGGAAAGAGTTAGTGCATGTTCCTGCATTTAAGTAGCTTTAGAATGAGCTCAACACACATCATTTAGCCTCTATCCTATACTCCCAGTCACTAGAGGAAGGGAATGATTTGGGGACCTCCATACCCGTGCTGGGTATGGAGACTGTTTGATGAAGTTATTGTACCAGGAGAGAACAACTTTCTTTGAGAGTGGGCCAAGATGGTCACTTACAGAGGTAGTCATCATCCTGGGGCTCGCTGACTTCTTGGTATGCAAAGCCCTTTCTTTCTCATAGACTATACATCTTCACTTCAATCTCCTTTCTCCTGAGCTCTGAGTTGGAAAAGAGTATGTGAGTGAGGTTGGTGGGGTCTGGAGTGTTAGTCCCCTGTTTTTTCCGAAAATGCAAAATCTCATCTAATAAATTATTACTTGCCCTTCTATATACCCTCTCCCCATTGCCCAAACTCTTAATTCAGAGAGTAAGACTCCACACTGACTATAGATGGCTAACTCAATTTTAGTTTCTTCCCATTATCAGGCTAAACTTTATAATCTTTCCTCTTAGAAAATGGCTCATTCACGTGTTTCTTCATTCAGAAAATATTTGTTGAGGGCACATTACATGTCAGGCATCAAGTAAGGTCCTGGGCATTCAACACCAAGAAAGTATGGTCTTTATTGTCACTGAGTGATTTATTGGATAACTTGCATGTGTCTATTCTTTAATGTTTAATTTAATGCTTTCAAACAATATATAAGCTATGCATTCTTATCTTCACTTTACAGATTAGCATTCAGGAGCTCATAGAATTTATAAGATTTATCCAAGACCTCAGTGGTAACTACAAGTGTCAGGTTAGTTTAGCTTTAACCTAGGCCTAGCCAGAGTCCACTCCACATACCTAGGTTGTATTCATCAACGTTTCTGGAGGACTTAGAGGGACCAAAGTTCCCATATTATTTTTTTTCTTACCCAAGTTTTGTCTAGAGCGATGTCCAGGGGTACTTGCTTCTCCAAAAAGGGACGGTTTCTGGCCCTGCTCTGAGCCACTTGTGTTCAGCAACTTTGCTGTTTCTGATAAATCCTTCAAGCTAGATTCCTTACTTAATGGCACTTTGTGGATTCCCTTCAATGTGAGAGTCACATATTAAAAGACAGCAGGCATTTATTTTTTTATTTTTTTTTATTTTTATTTTTTTACAAATAGTTTATTGTCAAATTAGTTTCTACATAACACTCAGTGCTCATCCCCAAAGTGCCCTCCTCAGCAGGCATTTTTTTAGTCCTGTAAGGCTTATGATGTGTTTTCACATGAATAGCTTTGGTTAATACTTCAACAACACTTGGAAATACCTAAGAATTCTGAATACTAGAGGGAAAAGAAAAGGAATATGTGGGTATTGAATTCAAGACGAGAAACCATGGCTTAAGATTCTCTATCTTTATATTTTCTCAAAATTTTCCATAAAAGTGAGAGGCAGGGAGAATGCTTGGGAAAAGTAGCTTGAGAATTAAGAAGGTCTGTGAAAGAAGATGGTAGAGAAAAAGAGGGGGTCATCTACAAATTTATGGACATTTAATGGAGGAGGAGATGTAGACAAATGGAAGGGACTGCACACATTGAGGTGACAGAGCAGAGAGAGGGGAAAGGTAACAAAGAAAGGGTTGGAGGAAATGTGTCTAAACACTGAAAAAACAACAACAAAGGATGCTAAAGTTGTCACTTGCCGTATCCAGGAAAGAATATTTGGAATTAGATTAGCTGGTTCTTGTCAGTTGTGTTTGAATAAGGTTGTACCAGCAGCTAGCTCTCTTCAGGTATACATGGTAATTTTTTAAAAAGTTTTATTTATTTAAGCAATGTCTATAGACCACATGGGGCTTGAACTCACTACTCGAGACCAAGAATCTCACGCTCTTTCAACTGAGCCACCCAGGTGTCCTATATACATACTATTTCTTAATGTTATAGTAAACAGAAAATATTTTAATGATCATCAAATTGTCTCATGAGCTATTTGATACAGTATGAATGTGAGATTCTGGTCCTGCTATCAATTTACCATCTCAATTGTCTCCATGTTCAAAATCTAAATCACAGATGTTATTTTCAGCATTCCTTGACCCTTTTACTTCTAATGTAATCTATAAATGTGGAATTGCTCACTCAGAAAACATTCAGGAGCCCTGTGGGGCAGGGGACTTCTGAGAAGAAAGAGCCTGCAGGGCAGAGGCAGGCTACGCAAACGATTCTGAACAGCATGACAGTTGCCTAATGAGAGCTCAGAGGAATGAGCCGTTGCTTCTTTCTACAAGTATGAACATTTTAAGTCAGTTCCAGGCAGGTGAGTTTCTTTTTTTCTTAAGTTTATTTACTTTTGAGAGAGAGAGAGAGAGAGAGAGAGAGAGCAGGGAAGGGGCAGAGAGAGAGGGAGAAAGACAGAATTCCAACCAGGCTCTGCACTGACAGTGATGTTTTCATGAACTGTGAGATCATGCCCTGAGCTGAAATCAAGAGTCTGATGCTTAACTGAGTGAGCCACCCAGGTGCCCCACAGATAGGTGAGTTTCTAAAGAATATCATGTAACATATATGAAAGTCATTTTATATGTTGTTTCTCAGTCATCAAACCTAGAAGTTCTCAGGGCTTCAGATGCTTCCTCTTATTAGAATGGGAGACTCTGGGGGTGTCTGGGTGGCTCAGTCAATTGAGTGACCGACTCTTGATTTTGGCTCAAGGTAGTGATCTTGGAGTCCTGGGGTCGAGCCCTGTGGTGGGGCTCTGTGCTGGGTATGGAGACTGCTTGAGATTCTCTCTCTCTCTCTCTCTCTCTTAAAATAAGTAAGTAAGTAAGTAAGTAAGTAAATAAATAAATAAATAAATAAATCGAATGGGAGGCTCTGATGGTGGGGATCCTCTCTCTTTCATCTGGGACCATCCAGTATACACATTCTAGTATATTTGTAAGGTTCTCTTACTTAGGGGGTGGAGGTCTTAGCTCATCTTTCATTTTAGCATACTAGAAAAGAATTGAGGTTGAAATAATCAAGTGAATAATGTAAATTTTATAAAACTATACAAGTTTTAATGAGCTTGTAAGTGGTTTAGAAAAGGAGCTTGAGATTAGATTGCACTACCACTAGTTTTGGGATCTCAGGTATATAATCATAAATGTCTTTGTTTCAATCTCTATAAATGGTGATATTTACAGTACCTACCTCATAGGGTTGTTGTAACGTTTGAGTTTATTCATCTAAATGCTTAAAATAAAGTCTGAAGTATAGTGAAAATAAAACAAGTGATAGCTAATATTACTGCTGTTCTTTTTAAAAAAAAATGTTTAATGTTCATTTATTTTTGAGAGACAGAGCATGAGCAGGGGAGCGGCAGAGAGAGAGGGAGACACAGAATCTGAGGCAGGCTCCAGGCTCTGAGCTGTCAGCACAGAACCCGACGTGAGGCTCGAACTCATGAACCCTGAGATCATGACCTGAGCTGAAGTTGGACGCTTAACCACTGAGCCACCCAGGTGCCCCTATTGCTGTTCTAATTAACTATTGAAGTTATGATGATACTGGATATTGTGCTAAAGAGTTCAGGAAAGGAAGGCAGCAGTTCCCAGGATACCCTGCATTCTCTTACCCTTATCTGTATTTAAATCCATGAGATTTTTTTGTCACCAGGATTTGGGAAATACTCACCTTCTGTTGTTTACTCTGCTCCACTCTGAATGTCATCCAAGAAGGTTTGACTATAAAGTGATGAGAAATCAGTGTTTAGGTTGGTAAATGTTTCTAAACTCCAAAGATTCTCACTAGAGACACAGAATTCTTAACCAAGGAGTGACAAGTACAAAGATATCAAAGGGTGATTGGAAAATGGTTTTTAAAGTATCATCAAAGTCTATGCTGCTACTGGTGACCAACTAATTTTTTGAAAATGTTACAAAAATAGACAAACCTCATTTATCATTTATGCATCATCCTGTGTTCATAACTTATCTATTACACCTAGTAATATATGTATATATACTGGATACATATACTATATATATGTATGTGTGTGTGTGTGTATATACATATATACTGACCTTCTATTACAAAGAAACTCAACAAGCTGCAAATAGAAAGAAATTACCTCACTATAATAAAGGCCATATATGAAAAGTCTATCTCAAACATCATACTCTCCAGTTTAATGCTGAAAGCGTTTTCTCTAAGATCAAGAATAAGGCAAGGATGCCCACTCTCACAACTTCTATTCAAAATAGTACTCGAAGTCCTAGCCAGGGCATTAGACAGGAAAAAAAAAAAAAGGAAATAAAGTACATCTAATTTGGAAAGCAAGAAGAAAAGTGATGTTTGTTCACATATGACATGATCTTATATGTAGAAAATCCAAAAGATTCCACACAAATATCTGTCAAAACTAACAAACAAATTCAGCAAAGTTGGAGGATACAAAATTAATACTAAAAACAATAGTTGCATATGTATGTACTAACAGTGGACAGTCCAAAAAGGAAATTAAGAACAGTCTTATTTATAATAGCACTAAAGGAATGAAATAATTAGTAGCAAACTTAACCAAAGATGTGTAATCTTTGAACACTGAAAACTACAGAAAATTTTTTAAAAAGTAAAGATGCTTCATTATCACTGATCCTCAGGGAAATGCAAATTAAAACTGCAATGAGAGGGGCGCCTGGGTGGCTTAGTCGGTTAAGCGTCCGACTTTCGCTTAGGTCATGATCTCGCGGTTCGTGGGTTCGAGCCCCGCGTCGGGCTCTGTGCTGACTGCCAGCTCAGAGCCTGGAGCCTGTTTCAGTCTGTGTCTCCTTCTCTCTCTGACCCTCCCCTGCTCACTCTGTCTCTCTCTCTCCTAGAAATAAATTTAAAAAAATAAAAAATAAAACTGCAATGAGATATTATCTCATACCTATTAGTATGATCACTATGAAAAAAAATCCAGACGAAAGCAAGTATTGTCAAAGATGTGGAGAAATTGGAACCCTTACACACTATTTGTGGGAATGTGGAATGTCGCAGGCATTATGGTAAACAGCATGGAGGATACTAAATAAAAAGAGAACTGCCATATGATTTAGAAGTCCAGTTTCTGGGTATGTGTATAAAAATTGGAAATAGGATCTTCATAAAATATTTGTACACTCAAGGTCATTGCAGCATTATTCATAATAGCTAAGATGTGGAAGCAACCTAAATGTCCAACAACAAATAAATGGATAAAGAAAATTATACACACACACACACACACACACACACGCACAGAGGAATATTATTCAGCCTTAAAAATGAAGAACATCTTTAATATGTTACATCATGGATGGACTTTGAGGACATTATGCTAATTGATATAAACATATCACAGAAGACAAATACTACATGATTCCACTTATATGAGTTATCTGTTTCACGCATATGGAAAATAGAATGGTTGTTTCCGGGCCTGTTGGGGGAAGGGGAGGAGAGGAAATGGAAAGTTGTTCAATGGGTATAGAGTTTCAGTCATGCAAGATGAAAAAGATCTAAAAATCTATTGTTCAATAATGGGCATGTAGTTAATAATACTGTGCTGTATACTTAAACATTGTTAAGAGGGTAAATTTATGTTATTATTATGTTTTGTAACCACAATAAATAAAATTGGGTGGGAATTTTAGCTGAGGGTAGATAAAGCTGTGTAGATGTATAGTAAACCATGGGTTATGTGTTCTCTATGAAGACTTCCTTTTTATGTCACACCTTTGTGAACAACCACACACTGGGTTTTCAAATCTCTGATATCCATAGATGGAATCATAGACCTAATCCGAGTTGCTTTCTCCAGTTTAGGGAGATCGAGTCTTCTTCCAGACTGTTTTGTCTGAATACCAAAAGAGAAAGTGAGTTTCTCAGTTCTATTTTGAGTTTATTTTTTTATATCTAGGAGAGAGAGAGGGAGACAGTGTGAGCAGGGGAGGGTCAGAGAGAGAGGGAGTCACAGACTGAAACAGGCTCCAGGCTCTGAGCGGGCAGTCAGCACAGAGCCTGACACGGGGCTCGAACCCACGAACCGCAAGATCATGACCTAAGTGAAAGTCGGACGCTTAACCGACTAAGCCACCGAGGTGCCCCTCTCAGTTCTATTTTGTAAGGATCACACTTCATGTTATCTGTCTGATGCTGTCTCTGGTAAGTGGTATGTGGGAAAGATCAGGGAGACTAGGTAATTATCTCAAATCATCTTCAGAAGTAAGACAAATAATCTGATTCATTTTGGGGAATGAAGATCATGTGTGTGATTAAGTATATATAAAAACTGTGTATCTTTACATTAATATGTTCATCATTTTCTCTTTTAAGACATTTAATCCAATAATTGAATAATAAGAATAACTGCGATTACTTTTAAAAAGCTCTTTGGTGGACTTACAGTCTAATTAAGGTTTCTTTAACTTCTCTTTCATTAACGAACAATGTTTAGTACAAAAAATCTTTTTTCAAGAAAACAAATGACAAATTTTAAACATATAGAAAGGTACGGAGAATTATACTGGAAAACGTATGCATTCACCACTATTCAGCCTTCTCCCAACATTCTGCCACAACTTTCTATCTTTCTATCTTTTAATTTTTATCTGTATATCTTTTAAGTTCTATTTTAAAATTAAAAAACAAAAATAAAAGCAAATAAAAAGCTAATCAAGACACAGCAAAGCCACCTGCCACCCCTTCCTTCTTCTCTTATGATAACTACTCTGAATTTGGCATTTCTTTTTCATGTTCAGATTTTGACACATTTACCACTCTTAATGTATTTATAAATAATATAATCTACATTTAAAAATTTTATATAAGAGGCACCTGGGTGGCTCAGTCGGTTAAGCGTCCGACTTCGGCTCAGGTCATGATCTCACGGCTCGTGGGTTTGAGTCCCGCGTCGGGCTCTGTGCCGACAGCTCAGAGCCTGGAGCCTGTCTTCAAATTCTGTACCTCCCTCTCTCTCTGACCCTCCCCTGCTCACGCTGTCTCACTCTCTCTTAGAAATAAAGAAAACATTTAAAAAAATTTTTTTAAATTTTATATGAATAGCCTCTTATTGTGTGATATTCTGTTTTGCATCTTGCATTTATGCTTTTGAGTAGAGAGTCTCCTTTTTTTAACTCCTGAGATGAAGCTGAGACCTAAGCTATGGGTTTCAGGAGGAAACACCTAAATCTTCCTGGTCCCTCACCTTGATGCCTTGGCGTCCATTCTTCATCGGAATCCTCAGTGTCATCAACTGGGGGTTTGATGGCCTGCCTGCGGTGACACATGAAAGCTGGTCGAGGGGCTCTGAGACCTGAAAAGAAGCAAAATCCTTGTCCTAAGAGGGAAGAGCTAGGAGGAACAAAGCAGTGGCAATGGAGTGCATCTCCCAGTAGTGCAACTCAATTGGATGGGCCGAGAGAGTCTAGAACAAGGCAAGAGATGAGCCGTGCATTGCCAGTGCAAGCCCTACACTGATAGAAGAGAACAAAATTTCATTCCAGATTTGTCTTCACAC